TTTAACTCATTTACGAGGCCATAAAAATCTCCAGCAAGCATGCAAAGAATGAGGAAATACTTCATCAGTGTCACAAATGGCTGGTGAAGCGACAGCTCCCATGGTGACCAGAATACCCTCATGAAAAGCTGGAATGTTAAAAAGCCTCTGAGTGTCTGTCTATATATGTTGTGTGTCTATGGCATTGAACGTTTACTATGTATATGTACATTGTAATCCGCCCTGAGTCCCCTGCAGGGTGAGAAATGCGGAATATAAATACATAAATAAATAGATACCAGATAGATAGTTAGATTAGATAGATAGATGGAGAGATAGATGGAGAGATAGATGGAGAGATAGATAGATAGATAGATAGATAGATAGATAGATAGATACCAGATAGATAGATTAGATAGATAGATAGATATAGATAGATAGATAGATAGATAGATAGATAGATAGATAGAGAGACAGACAGACAGACAGACAGAGAAGATAGATGGATGGATGGATGGATGGATGGATAGATAGAAGATAGATAGATACCAGATAGATAGATTAGATAGGGAGAGAGACAGAGACAGAGAGAGAAGATAGATAGATGGATGATGGATGGATGGATAAATAGATAGATAGATAGATAAATACCAGATAGATAGATAGATTAGAGAGAGAGACAGAGACAGACAGAGACAGACAGAGAAGATAAATAGATGGATGGATAGGTAAGTAGATAGATAGATAGATAGATAGATAGATAGATAGATAGATAGATAGATAGATAGATAGATAGAACATCCCATTCCATTTTAAGCAATTGAAGCATTGGATAAAAGTATTTTTCTTTTACCTCTGTGCCTCTGGTTTCTTCCGCCAGCATGCAAATCCCACAAGGCTGTATGTTCTTCAAAGCTTGTCCCGGCTTGCCAAAAAAATGTGATGTTTTAGTCAACAGCCCATAAAGGTGGAGCTCAGGTGCTCTTCATCTGGAGCTCCGAAACCTTCAAAGGGCCGAGGCAGGCAACCGCATGGAAACCGGTGGCACGTATGAGAGTTGGCACCAGGTCTGGACACTGAGGAGCAGCCAATAAGATTTCCCTGGCCTTCAGGAAAAGAAACCATAAGCAAATCTACCGGGATAAACAGGATTGAGAGCAATTACAGGTATACATTATGCAAAAGGTCACGCAGGAAATGGGAGTTCTGGTTTCTTTTTCAACAGACCAACTGCATAAAGGAGTTGCAGGTAAACAGAATGAATGGAGTACAGGAGATGTGATCCTGGGCATGACTTCCTTTAACAGTCAATTGGGCAACAGAGGAAAAAAATTACGTGGAACGAAAAGGGCAGGAATAATGTGAAAAGAACAGGTTCCGGCAATGCAAGAAAAAGCTCAACGTGTTTCAGCAAAGCTTTTTATTCAGAACTCAAAATGAGACATGACACTTGCAGCCTCCTATAGCAGTGTTTCTCAATCTAGGGGTGGCAAGGGGGTTTCAGAGGGGTCGCCAAAGACCATTAGAAAACATGTATTTCTGATGGTCTTAGGGACCCCTTTGGCAGTGAAGGCTGAAAGTCTCTCCGCCTGCCATAGAATCATAGAGTTGGAAGATACCTCATGGACCGTCCAGCCCAACCCCCTGCTAAGAAGCAGGAATATTGCATTCAAAGCACCCCTGACAGAAGGCCATCCAGCCTCTGTTTAAAAGCTTTCAAACAAGGAGCCTCCACCACACTCCAGGGCAGAGAGTTCCACTGCTGAACGGCTCTCACAGTCAGGAAGTTCTTCCTCATGTTCAGATGGAATCTCCTTTTTCTCGTCCTTCCTTTATCCTGTCCTTCTCTTCCTTTTTGGAAACAGACTGAAAATCCTTCCTCCAAAAGCCCTTCTCCTGCTGTGATTTGCTGGCCTCTCAACAGGCCTCTCAGCCAAGGGGAAGGCTGTTTCTGAGACTCCAAGTGGGGAGGGGAGAGCAGGCATGCTCGGTGCATGGCAGTGTGGTGTGCATGTGCGAGCGAGGGAGAGCGAGCAAGGCTGAAGGGAGGCTCACGCCAGTAAGTCCTTTCAACACATGCAGGTTCTATGTAGGAGGTTTGGCCCAAATCTATCGTTGGTGGCATTCAGAATGCTCTTTGATTGTAGGTGAACTATAAATCCCAGCAACTACAACTCCCAAATGTCAAAATCTATGTTCCCCTTACACCACCAGTGTGCACATTTGGGCATATTGAGTATTCATGCCAAGTTTGGTCCAGATCATTGTTTGAGTCCACAGTGCTCTCTGGATGTAGGTGAACTACGACTCCAAAACTCAAGGTTAATGCTCACCAAACCCTTCCAGTATTTTCTGTTGGTCATGGGAGTTCTGTGTACCAAGATTGGTTCAATTCCATTGTTGGTGGAGTTCAGAATGCTCTTTGATTGTAGGTGAACTATAAATCCCAGCAACTACAACTCCAAAATGACAAAATCAATCCCCCCAACCCCATCAGAATTCAAATTTGGGCGTATCGGGTATTTGTGCCAAATTTGGACCAGTGAGTGAAAATACATCCTGCATATCAGATATTTACATAACGATTCATAACAGTAGCACTATTGCAGTTCTGAAGTAGCAACGAAGTAATGTTATAGTTGGGGGTGACCACAACATGAGGAACTGTTTTAAGGGGTCATGGCATTAGGAAGGTTGAAGCCCTTTGTGAGCTTCTTTCAAAACACATCCAGGAATGACATTTTTCTGCCACCAATTTTCTTAACGTTTTCCATTTTTGTGAGATCTATACACAAAAACTAATTTTGGAGGCTTATCTCCTCTCCCTTTCTCCATGTTGCTGTTCACGAATACTCTGTAAAAGATTCTGGGGCAGCTGCAGTTTCACTTGCCAGTTATAGGCAGGGGCGGCTCAACCCATTACGCAAAGTAAGCATTTGCAGTATAGTTGATTTTGCCCAGGGGCACTCTTGAGGCGCTCTTGGGGGGAAATAGACCTTGACATATGCGAGTTGTAGTTACTGGGATGTATAGTTCACCTAAAATCAAAGAGCATTCTGAACTCCACCAATGATGGAATTGAACCAAATATGGCACACAGAACTCCCACGACGAACAGAAAATATATATCAATGATTGGTTGGGGTGGGGGGTGGGGGGCAAAATACTGTTTGCTTACCGTTGAAAATTACCTAGGGTCACCTCTGGTTATAGGTAAGAACACGAGGCTACCATAGAATTTCATGGTATCCCATCCTTTCCTAGCTGAAAACTGTATTGCATTGTAGACATATTACTGCAACACAGAAGCAAAAATTCATATTTCTGCCACACTCCACCATTATCTCAGTATTGCAAAAAAAAAAAAAAAACCCAAAACACCCAAAACTTTTCAGCTGGATTGCAAACAAGGAAAAAATGCAGAAATGGCTAGACCCCAAAAAAAAGACTAACAAGAGCTTTTTTGCCAGGGACATTGTTAATAATTGTTGATAGATGCTAAAGGTGTGAACAGAGCTGTGCACCTGATCTTGGAATCTAAGCAGGCCCAAGCCTGCCCAGTGATTGTATTGTAAGCCACTGTTATTATGGCCAAACAACTGCTGTGAGAACAAACACTCTGAAAACAGAGTGAATCTTGCTCTGACCACTTCTGAACCACAACAGCTAAACCAACCATGGGCAAATTTGAGCCCTCCAGATGTTTTGGACTTCAACTCCCACAATTCCTAACAGCCTCAGGCCCCTTCTTTTTCCCCCTCAGCCGCTTAAGCGCCCCTTCCACTTGAGCTTAAAAAGTAAATAAAACAAAGACAGCAGTGGATTTAAACTATCGGGGGGGGGGGGGGGTTTATCCAGCGTTTCATCTGATGTCTCCAACAAATTGGGCTTCATGCTTAAGCGGCTTAGGGGGAAAAGGAATGGGCCTGAAGCTGTTAGGAATTGTGGGAGTTGAAGTCCTAAACACCTGGAGGGCTCAAATTTGCCCATGGCTGAGCTAAACCCCCATATTCAAAGGAAATATATCTCTATTTCCCAGGTAAAGAGAGATAGGAGGACTGCTATCTTTAATTATAATGACAGGTTCAGAGAGAGGGACAGACTTCGAAACAGAGATGTCCAGCATATCCAGCAGTCTGCTTTTAGATGTGACCAAAACGACCCTTCCTACTTTCCTCCTCTGGTTTAGAGAAACTTTCTAAAACCCTGATGATCAGAACTCAAACACAATTCAATATATTTGGAAAGTCAAAGTCATCAGTTCAACCTTCAGTCGATTGACTCAATGGCTCTCCAAGCTATGGCCAAACTTGCTTATTGTTGTCTTTATTGAAGTTCTTTAGGTTCTACAGAAAGAAGGGAACAGGGAAGGCACAAATGGCGTTGCTTTAAGTAGGTCCTCCTGGACGTTCCACAGATATGTAAACCCTATTTTCCTAGTTTACAACAAACCTCACAACCTCTGAGGAGGCTTGCCATGGATGCGAGCATAACGTCAAGAGAGAATGCTTCTGGAACATGGCCAAAGAGCCCTGAAAACTCACAACAACCCAATAATACATGAGTATTACTCTTGACTATGGGACTCTTGACTATGGGACCTCAAAGAATGCATCACATTCTTTTTGTTACCCTGGACTGTGATCTGACTTATAAGAAACACTGCTTAAAAATCAAGCAAAAAGTGGGTGCTAGAAATAACATCATACAAAAGCTGACTGGCACAACCTGGGGATCACAACCAGACACAGTGAAGACATCTGCCCTTGCACTATGCTACTCTGCTGCTGAGTATGCACACCCAGTGTGGAACACATCTCACCATGCTAAAACAGTGGATGTGGCTCTTAATGAGACATGCTACATTATCACAGGATGTCTACGCCCTACACCATTGGAGAAATTATACTGTTTAGCCAGTATTGAAGCACCTGACATCCGCTGGGAAGTCGCAGCCAATAATGAACGACGGTGACATCTCCAGCCCATCCCATTCGGATATCAGCCAGCACGCCAATGTCTTAAACCAAGAAATTGTTTTATTAGATTTACAGAGATACTCGCAGGAACACCTCAGCATGCAAGAGTCCAAAAGCGGCAGGCAAAAACCCGGAACCTCAATCAGTGGCTGAGACCAAATGAGGGACTCCTTCCTTGGCACACAGAAGACTGAGCGACTTGGAAGATGGTGAACAGGCTGTGCTGTGGCACCACGAGATGCAGAGACAACCTTAGGAAATGGGGCCACAAAGTGGAGTCCATGACATGTGAGTGTGGAGAAGAGCAAATCACAGACCACCTACTACAATGCAACCTGAGCTCTGCCACATGCACAATGGAGGACCTTCTTATAGCAACACCAGTGACCAGCTACTTGTCAAAGGACAGTATAATGCCAAGTTTTTTAAAAACTTTGTTTGAGTTTTTAAATACATTGCAACTGTATTCTCGATTTGCTTCTGAGATGATAAATAAATACATATCTGTTTTCCCCCACCCTTCAAAAATGAGGTCCAAAAGTAGACTTCTGTTTTTTTTTTCAGGAAAGATTTTCCAACTAACAGTAGATCCTGAGTCAAACATTGATTCAACCTTGCTTTAGAGCAGGAGTTCCATGTGGCCTGTGGGATAATTTTTGCGGGCTCCCCAAACTGTTGTTTAAAGAACATCCACACCCAAAATTCTTTTATAGAGGGCATGAGGACATTTTGGGTACAGTTGTGAGACACCATTTTAGGCCCAGGAGAAATCTTACTTTAAAAAAGGAGGTGGGTTTCCTGTCACATCCTCTCCTGGACCCTAAATTGTCCACCACTGTTCTTTGCCAAACGTGGCAATATATCTCCACACTTCTGAGGTGTTTGGAAGCATTTGGAGGTTGATTTGTGTGTGTGTTGTGGTGAGTCTCCTTGGAGGCTAATGTAGCCCCTTGTCCTTTAACCATTGTCTGCTACTACTTTAGAATAACAAACTTCTTTGCCATCTCTGTGATGCCTAAATGCAAACAAGAAACAGAGAATCGCAGAATGTCTTCGCTGAGCAAAAAAGTCCCCTCTCTCTCTGCTCAAGTATGGATTTCACGGGTTTTCAAGTTACTGGTTGCTTCCTGATGCTCCTCCATTTCGTCTCTATTCACGGCATCTTCGACACGTGGCTCCATTTCCCCATAGCCCATTCCTACGATGTCACATTGGGGTAACATCTCCTCCAACAGGATCCGAACCAACCCTTTGTGTTGAACGGAAGGGAGGTCTGAGACATCCAAGTGTTTCAGGTTTCTGCAAACAACAGTGGAGGATGAGTTAATAAAACCACTCCTTTCCTGGTTCTAGCCTTCTAAAGTAAAGTAAAGGTTTCCCCTGATATTAAGTCTAGTTGTGCCCAACTCTGGAGAGTGGCGCTGATCTCCATTTTTAAGCCAGCGTTGCCCGTAGACACCTCCAAGGTCATGTGGCCAGCATGACTGCATGGAGTGCCATTACCTTTCCGCAGAAGTGGTACCTATTGATCCACTCACATTTGCATATTTTCGAACTGTTTGGTTGGCAGAAGTTGAGGCTAACAGCGGGAGCTTACCCTGCTCCCCGGATTCATATAGATTACTACTCATATAGATTACTCCCTGCTCCCCGGATTCGAACCGCCAACCTTTCGGTCAGCAAGTTCAGCAGCTCAGCGGTTTAACCTGCTGTGCCACTAGGGGGCCCCTTCCACTTGAGCTTTAAAAGTAAATAAATCATTCATATAATTAACATTAAAAAATATCTGGGGGGGGGGGCAGTTCATCCAGCATTTCATCTGATGCCTCCAACATTGGGCTTCACGCCACCAAGTCAGCTTGGTTCTCAGGATCCAAGGAACATGGCATTTCAGTGCAAGCTGTTACTCCTCTCTTACCTATGGAATAATGGGTTAAAACTGGCACCTATTTATTTTATTTTATTTTATTTTATTATTTTTATTTTATTTTATTTCATTTCATATATTTATATTCTGCCCTTCTCCCCATAAGGGGGACTGAGCGCGGCCTCACATGAGCATCAGAGGATGCTAACAGCATAATTACCATAAAAATTTCAATTCCCAATAAAATCATTTTAAAACATTATACAACATCGTCAGTAAAATTTAACAATAAATTAATAGATTAACGTGCCTGTAAAACCAAGCCGAGCCGGGAGAATCCATGTCGCAAAATCCAAATTGGCCTCCGACATACGACCCACACCATACAACCCTCACTACCTCTGAGGATGCTTGCCATAGATGCAGGCGAAACGTCAGGAGAGAATGCCTCTAGAACATGGCCATATAGCTCAAAAAAACCTACAACAACCCACCCTGGTGTACTTACTGAAGATGATGGAGGCAAGCAAGGCCTCTCTCGGTGATCCGGGGGCAGCCAGCAAGCGAAAGCTCCTCCAGTGTGTCTCCCAAGGCAGTCAGCCGGCACAAGCTCCAGTCGTCAATGTTGGGGCACCTGCTGAGGTCCAGGTATTTCAGGGCTTTCAGGTTGACTATAGGAAGGACCCCGGAGAAGGAGAAGTAATTGGAAACAGGCTGTGACTTATCCACAAAGGCAAACCCCAACCCAATAAAAATCAAACAAATCCTATAACAGCAAATGTGTAAACCAGTGCTTGGCGGCAGTGATGGTCTGGATGGGGACAAACAAATTGAAATTGAATCCAGACAAGATGGAAATAGGTACTCCAGGTCAGTCATAAGGCTAAACAGGGTCTAGGGTTACAGTCTGTGTTGGATGGGTTTGCATTCCCCCTGAAGATGCAGGTTCACAGCTTGGGAGTGATCCTGGACTCATGGCTGAGCCTGGAACCCCAAAATGGCCAGGGGAGCTTTCACACAATTAAAACTTGTGCGCCATTTGTGCCCATACCTTGAGAAGCCAGACTTGGCCACGGTGGTCCAAGCTCTTGTTACATCTCATATAGATTACTACTTACTTACTTACTTAGGCGATCCCTCATTGTCTGAGTAGGATTGTCTTCCAAGATGTACTGGAAGTGCGTCCGTGGGTGACTGTGGACCCCTGTTCTTGACCTGCATCTTCTCCCGCAGTGAGGGCATTGGTTTCCAGGTGGAAGGCAGTCCCAGTCAGGGTTGGCTTGATGCGCCTTCCTCTTGGCACGTTTCTCTTTTTCGTCCTCCATTCGTGCCTCTTCAAATTCTACAGCACTGCTGGTCACAGCTGACCTCCATCTGGAGCGCTCAAGGGCCAGGGCTTCCCAGTTTCAGTGTCTATGCCAGAGTTTTTAAGGTTGGCTTTGAGCTCATCTTTAAATCTCTTTTCCTGCCCACCAACATTCTGTTTTCCGTCTTGAGTTCAGAGTAGAGCAACCGCTTTGGAAGACAGTGGTCAGGCATCCAGACAATGTGGCCGGTCCAGCGGAGTTGATGGCACAGAACCATCGCTTCAATGCTGGTGGTCTTTGCTTCTTCCAGCATGCTGACATTTGTCCACTTGTCTTCCCAAGAGATTTGCAGGATTTTCCGGAGGCAGCGCTGATGGAATCATTCCAGGAGTTGCATGTGACATCTGTAGATACTCCCTGTTTCGCAGGCATATAGCAGGGTACAACACACTCTATGTGGGGTTGCCTTTGAAGATGGCTTGGAAGCTCCAAGTAGCCCAACAGGCAGAAGTCAGATTCCTTACTGGAGTGGCGTACAAGGAGCATACAACTCCTCTGTTGCGCCAGCTCCACTGGCTGCCTGTTGCTACCAAGCCCAATTCACGAAAAAAAACTACCCTTATGAGCCAACTAGAGCTTTAAGATCTGCTGGGGAGGTCCCGTTCTTGGCAAGAGCGACTGGTTGGAATGAGAGTCAGGGCCTTCTCAGTGGCAGCCCCTTGGCTGTGGAACTCCCTCCCCAGCGACATCAGGCAAGCCCCATCCTTTCTGGCCTTCAGAAAAAAGCTAAATACCTGGCTTTGGATGCAGGTGTTTGGAGAATAAGGCATTACAAATTTCGACACAGTCTGAACAAGGATTATGGATAAATGCAATCAAGACCTTTATATGTTTTAATCTGTTTTTATTGCTCTATGAGTTTTATTTGCTCATGTGTTTTAATTGTTTTTTAGTTGCTGGGGTATACTTTAATTGTTCTGTTGACATGCGGCATTGAATTTTGCCAGAGTCTGTAAGCCACTTTAAGGCCCCTGCGGGGTGAGAGAGGCGAGGCATAAATGTAGTAAATAAATAAATAGGCAGATATATGCAAATACATTACATTTGCATAATCTAAAAGGGTGAATTCTTGTTAGGTCAAAGTTCATGTGGCATCCAAAGCTGTTTTTTGGCCTTTGATAGCTCTGAAACAGCCAGACAAATCTCTGGCCAATATTTAAAAAGTGAATGGCTGCTCCTGAAAGTCTTCAGATGTAACTTTTTTTTTTTTGTCATGTCAGGAGCGACTTGAGAAACTGCAAGTCGCTTCTGGTGTGAGAGATTTGGCCGTCTGCAAGGACGTTGCCCAGGGGACGCCCGGATGATTTTAATGTTTTTAATCATCCTTGTGGGAGGCTTCTCTCATGCCCCCGCATGAGGAGCTGGAGCTGATAGAGGGAGCTCATCCGCCTCTCCCCGGATTCGAACCTGCGACCTGTCGGTCTTCAGTCCTGCCAGCACAGCAGTTTAACCCACTGCACCACCAGGGGCTCTTTCAGATGTAACTATGTGTTTTTGAAAACTTTTGCAATGTTTTTCTGTGATGTTGAAAATAAAAAACCCATTTATTGAAAACTAAAAGTGTATTTCCAGCCAGTTTGGACTTTTGGTATTATTTCTCAGGAGTCCATATGGCCCTTAGAGAAGATCTCGGAGCATAAAAGTGCTCCCAAAAACTAATAATTGGTTCTTTGCCATAAGTTTGTGTGTGTGTGTGTGTCAGGAGCAACTTGAGAAACTGCAAGTCGCTTCTGGTGTGAGAGAATTGGCCGCCTGCAAGGACTTTGCCCAGGGACACCCAGATGTTTTACTATCATGTGGGAGGCTTCTCTCATGTCCTCACATGAGAAGCTGGAGCTGACAGACAGGAGCTCACCCTGCTCCCTGTATTAGAACCACCGACCTTTCGGTCAGCAGACCTGCTGGCACAAAGGTTTAACCCATTGCACCACCAGGGGCTCACCTACAGTGGTTCTCAACCTGGGGTCCCCAGATGTTTTTGGCCTACAACTCCCAGAAATCCCAGCCAGTTTACCAGCTGTTAGGATTTCTGGGAGTTGAAGGCCAAAAACATCTGGGGACCCCAGGTTGAGAACCACTGAGCACTCTGATTTTTCCTCCTTGCAAGATCACATCTTATGAAACTTGGGATCACTTGTATCCTCAATTTGAAAGGACGCCCTTGCAAATCAGGATACTCTTAAGAGTATTGCCAAGATATATTTTTTCCATACTGTGGTGCCACATGACTTTCTCCACCCGAATTAATTCTCACTTCCGATGTTGTAATACCTCTCACTCTCACAGACAACCAAAACCTATTTCATCCATGTTCCCTCCCTATCATTCACCTAGTATCATGTTATGAATATGCAAACTATATTGCAACCTCACATACACACCCACAAACAGAGAGTATGCATCAGCCGTCCCTTAAGGAATTGCATCACTCACTCTTGCCTATGTTAAATATGTCAACACAATTGCCAGTCAATGGTCAGATAAGAAATAGAAAGATGCATTGTCAATGGCTTTCATGGTCAGAATCACAGGGTTGTAGTGTGTTTTCTGGGCTGTATGGTCATGTTCCAGAAGCATTCTCTCCTGACGTTTCGCCTGCATCTAGGGCAGGCATTCCTAATTTCCAACATCCTTTCCTGTTGGAAACTAGGAAAGTGGGGTTTATATATCTGTGGAATGTCCAGGGTGGGAGAAAGCACTCTTGTCTCTTTGAGGTAGGAGTGAATGTTGCAATAGGCCACCTTGATCAGCACTGAATAGCCTTGCAGCTTCAAAGCCTGGCTACTTCCTGCTTCCCATCCTGAACATTCCATAGATATATAAACCTCACTTGCCTAGTTTCCAACAGACCTCACAACCTCTGAGGATGCCTGCCGTAGATGTGGGTGAAACGTCAGGAGAGAATGCTTCTGGAACATGGCCAGACAGCCCGGAAAAACTCACAACAACCCAGATAGAAAGATAATGGTAACCAAACTCATAAAATACTAACCTGGCTGGCACATTCAAACTATATTTTATTTTAACTATATGTTGTCCAAAGGTATTTTTTTTTTGTTGTGTCAGGAGTGACTTGAGAAACTGCAATTTGCTTCTGGTGTGAGAGAATTGGCCATCTGCAAGGATGTTGCCCAGAGAACGCCTGGATGTTTTTGTCCAAAGGCATTGAATAGTTGTCTATATGTAAAGCTGCTTTGAGTCCCCTTCAAGGTACAGAAAGGCAGGATATAAATAGGATAAATATGCAAAGAAGCAGATGAAACAATAGATCGTATCTTCAGCTGCTGCAAGAAGATTGAGCAGACAGACTCCAAGCAGAGGCACAACACCATTGCTCAGATGATTCATTGGAACTTGTGCCACAAATACCATCTGCCTGCGACAAAGAACTGATGGAATCACAAGCCGGAAAAAGTTACAGAAAATGAACACATCTAACTACTCTGGGACATCCGAATTCAGACTGACAGAGCACAAGACTCCTGACCTCACAAAAAAGTATAGATTGTCGATGTTGCAATCCCAGGCGACAGCAGGATTTAAGAGAAACAACTGGAAAAACTCACACAATATGAGGATTTAAATGATCGAACTGCAAAGACTCTGGCACAAGCCAGTCAAAGCGGTACCAGTAATGATCGGCACACTGGGTGCAGTGCCTAAAGACCTTGGCTTGCACTTAAACACAATCGGCGCTGACAAAATTACCATCTGCAAGCTGCAAAAGGTCACCTTACTGGGATTTGCATGAATTATTCGCCGATAGTCACACAGTCCTAGACACTTGGGAAGTGTCCAACATGTGATCCAATACAACAACCAGCAGAGTGTCTGCTGTGGACTCATCTTGTTGTGTTTCAAATAATAATAATAATAATAATAATTCTGTGATATCAAATCTATCAAATGCAATGTATTATATGACTTTACACACATACATGCATGGGACAGACAATGCTACAAAAGGAGTTAAAATGCTATGCACCATACAATAGAAGTACTGTTGTTGTTCTGTGCCTTTAAGTCATTTCTGGTTTATGGCAACCTGAATGCGAACCTATCACAAGGTTTTCTGGGGCTAAGTGTGCGAATAGACCTTTTCATCAGCAGCCCAAGCACCTGACTAGTCACATCAGAAGGAAGAAGCTTTGCTTTTGTTATACAACTGGGTTGCTGGGGAAAAAAGACCTATTCTTGGCAAGAATGAAATCAAAGGCAAGATATCATGAGGATACAAATCAGAAAGAGGATTCTGTAGCTACAGGCGAAAGATTTATATGCAGTGGCATCAAAAGACTTACCAAACACAGCCTGGCATTGGATACAGATTTCATAAGAACCGGATGTCTATTGTGCTTCCATTGGACTTCCATTGTATAGCACACTTGTACTGTGCTTCTATTTATAGCACTAATAGGGTTATAGCCATTCACTGACTCATAAGGCCTTTCCTATTCTTGTAATGAGTGGTAAAATGATGCCATATTTTAATTGAATCTGGGAAGCCTTGCTTGGAAACTTAAGCTAATTTAACTAATTTACAACGCCATAAAAACCCTCCAGCAGCGTGCCAAAGAATGAGGAAGTACTCCATCAGTGTCACAAGTGGATGGTGAAGCGACAGCTCCTCCAGTGGCCGGAATTCAAAAAGCATACCCCCATGAAGCTGGAAAGTTAAATAGCCTCTGTGTCTCTGTTTATAATATGTCGTGTGTCTGTTGCACTGAATGTTTGCATTGCATTGAGATCCACTCTGAGTCCTCTGGGGGGTGAGAAGGGCGGAATATAAATACTGTAATTAAATAATAAATAAATAAATAAATGAAAACTAACTAGCAGATGGCAGTTTCTGAAAAGAAATAATGCTAAGAGGGTAGTAAACATTTGCTCCAATTCCAAATGCATCTGTAGAATATAAAAACCTGATTAGCCCCAGCTTCTGCCAACCTAGCAATTCAAAAACATGCAAATTTGAGTAGATTAATAGATACCGCTCAGGAAGGAAGGTAACGGCGCTCTATGCAGTCATGCCGGCCACATGACCTAGGAGGTGTCTACGGACAACGCCAGCTCTTGAGCTTAGAAATGAAGATGAGCACCACCACCCCAGAATTGGACACGACTAGACTTAATGTCAAGGGGAAACCTTTGTCTCTTTAAATTATATCTAATGATATCCAAATCAGGATATTCAAAAATCTCCAGAATCTGAAACAGAGTTTGGCAAAGTTACATTTTGGACTACAACTCCCAGACTTCTGGCTGGGCGCTTCTGGGAGTTGAAATAACTTTTCAAACTCTGACATTGCAATTCTCTTAGCACTATAAATCAATACATAATAATCACAGGCCTAAGTAGAGCACAATTTCTCACCTAGGTTATCCAGACCATTGTAGCTGATGATGGAACCACTGATGTCGATGGCCTCCAAGCGGATGTCTTCATAGTTTTGAAAATCCACGTCATTTTTCCATTTTGTGATACTATTCTGGTACCAGTTATTTTGACCCCAGGCCCTAAAGGAATATAACAGTTCCAGCAATGCAGATAATGTTTCACAAGGTAGCCTAAGCAACAGATGTAAAAAAATAATTGTGTATGCAAAACATATAGTCCAGTTCAAAGTAGGAAATGAGGGATTTTATTCAGCTGTGTGGAAGGGGCCTGAGTAGCCATAGACTACAAAAATTGGATTTAAAATAAAAAAGATGAATTTCAGAGGAGTGATTTCCCAAAAGGTCCATAATCATACTGACAACAAACACCACAAGCAGAGTGTGCATCACATACCTAATTCTTCCTTTCTGGTTCAGGACAAAGACAGCAGCTCCAACTTCAAATCCATGACGCTCGCATGCTTCAACGCAAAGCCTAAAGATGGAGTTGGTGGACACATATTCAAACATTATTTTGGGAAGAATGGAAACTCGATTAACAAGATTTCACATGTTGCTCTCTAAACTAGGAACCCCCAGAGGTGCAGTGGGTTATGTCAGGATCTATTGAGGTATTATATGTATTATGTGTAATAGTTTTAAATGTAATTCTTGTGTAGCAAATATGGATGCCACTGAGAATGGAAATGCTGTACTGAAATATTTATGTTGAGGCTGTGATTAAGTGACCTTAAGATAAGCTCTCTTCTGCTGAGAACTTCTAGGGAGTTGCCGCTTGGAGCAAGAAGATTAACAGCTGCAAAGTTCTGTTTTGACTTTCGGTTTTCCTGTCTCTTCCTGTGTGTCGATCGCTGGTTTTTTCGTGCTTAGTAAACTGAGTTTTTCTTTTGTAACCAAAGTCTCCAGAGTCCTTGATTTACAGAGCTGTGTCTGGTAGATCTAGCATTTTGTTTCTGTCAAGTTGCGCCTTAACTTGACAGGTTAAACCGCTGAGCTGCTGAACTTGCTAACCAAAAAGTCGCAGGTGCGAATCCAGGGAGCAGAGTGAGCTCCCACTGTTAGCCCCAGCTTCTGCCAACCTAGCAATTCGAAAACATGCAAATGTGAGTAGATCAATAGGTACCACTCCAGTAGGAAGGTAACAGTGCTCCATGCAGTCATGCTGGCCACATGACTTTGGAGGTGTCTATGGACAATGCCAGCTCTTCAGTTTAGAAATGGAAATGAGCACCAACCCCCAGAGTCAGACACGCCTTGACTTAATGTCAGGGAAAAACCTTTACATTACTTCTCTAAACTAATGAAAATGATAAGATTGATTTGAATCAAGAAACCAATCAATGCCTTTGGAAGATCACAAAACTTCTGAAAGAAAGCTATGAATGTCCGTTCATCTAAACCARTATTATCTACTTTGATAAAGTGGACTCCACGACATGCGAGTGTGGAAAGGAGCAAACCACAGACCACCTATTACAATGCAGTCTGAGCCCTGCCACATGCACAATGGAGGACCTTCTTAAAGCAACACCAAAGGCACTCCAAGTGGCTAGCTACTGGTCACAGGAMACTTAATATAATGCCAAGTTTTTAAACATTGTGCTTTTAAAATACATTACAAATGTACTCTCGGTTCACTACTTTGGCTGGAAGCAGACAGAGAGGCTCTCCCTTTCATTTGCTTTTTAATCCCCGCATCTGGCAATCTGGAAGATTGATGCCAGGACTTTCTGTCTGGGCAGCTCATATTTTACCATCAGTTCTCCTTCTCTTAAAACACAAGCTTCACCTTTTCCCAGGCCTGACACCAACAACTTCCTTATTTAACAAAAGGAACTACTGTTGTGGGTGGCACTACCTCATTTTATTTCCTCAAGGGTTTCATGGTATTTGTTTTAACCACATTGGTATTTTGCGTTATGTCTAGCAAGCCCGCTAGGATACCTGTTGTTGCGCTCCAGGCCAGGAAACACCTCTGTACTTAACTCCAAGTTAAATCAGCAAAGCAGTTTATTGAAGATTATATAAAAAGCACTTCAACAAAAATAGTAAAAACTTCAAAGTCTATATGTGTAAAATAGTCCACAAGGTTCAAGGTACAAGAGTAATCCAAAATCCCAAAGCAACAGGACATCCAGCAGAGGAATGCAAGGGAACCAGGAAATAAAAGGCAACATAAGATCCAATAAAAATCCAGGAACAATCCTTCAAACTTGGAAGCCTGAAACAGGAGCAAAGACATGAAACTAGAATTCCCCCAGTAAGCTTGATCAGGACTTGGCACGAGCTGTTGTCTCAATTACCAACATTGACCAGATTGCCCAGGAAATGATCCCGGCCTCTCTAATAAAGACATGAAGTCATGCCTACTTCCATGAGTTTCTGCTATGGGTTTCTTCTGTAAGAGGCGCTGTGACCTTCAGGGGTTCTGCTGAGCAGCCAGAAGTTTGCGAAAACTAAGCCTCCTATCTACCAACTCACTATCTTGCAACTCATTATTTTCTGTATTGTCGAAGGCTTTCATGGCCGGAATCACTGGGTTGTTGTGAGTTTTCCAGGCTGTATGGCCATGTTCTAGAAGCATTCTCTCCTGATGTTTTGCCTGCATCTATGGCAGGCATTCTCAAAGGCCGTAAGGTCATTATTTTCTGCACCTGGGATTTTAGCCTCTGAACTCTTTTCCCTAGAGAACAGCTCTGCTGCACCATGTGGAATGTGACCTTCACTGACTGTTGGAAGCACAGACTGCTCATTTTGAGGACGTAAACTCTCATGAAGGCTCGCAGCCCAGAATCCCCATGACCTACGTCCACATTAACATGAGTACCAGGCACAATCATGGGCTAAACTACAACACCTGTTGCTATTATCAAAGGATACTAGGTACTGGAAAAAACTACTCTTTGAATTATATTTTGACAGAACACATAATAAGCATTAAAATTATTGGGGCATCCTTTTCCCCAGTGCACCCAGTACAAATTCCAATTCCAGATAATCTGCATCAAGCCTGACACTCTATCCAGTGCACCATGACCAGCTCCTGATTCTTTTAACCTGTGAGGATGGATTTAAGCTACAAAACTATCACTTTAAATATCCAAGGCACCATAATAGAGCAAATATCATTTCATACGCTGCTTGGAGGTTTACTGGAAGTCTTTATCTAGCTACTGTTGGATGGGGGAATTCAGATGTTGGTCTAATTTACCTGTCTGAACGTATTCTCCCCTATGAACCATCAAATCGTTAAGATCTTCTGGAGAGGCCCTGCTCTTGGTCCCACCACCTTCGCAAGCGCGTTTGGTGGGAACGAGAGACAGGGCCTTTTCTGTGGTGGCCCCTCAGCCATGGAACTCTCTCCCGAACGAGATTAGATCTGCCCCCTCCCTCTTGTCTTTCAGGAGGCTAGTGAAATCCTGGTTATGGAACGAAGCATTCCCAGAATAATGGCTGAGACTGATTACAGACCAAAGTGAGTGACCACATATGCAGACTGAGTTGAACATGATTTTACCTAGGCGATTTGGCATATATGTATTTTATCTATATGTATTTTTATCTTGTATTGTTGTACGATGTTTTAGCTTGTATTAGTAGCATTGAATCCTTGTTATAAGCCGGTCTGAGTCCCTCTACGGAGGTGAAAAGATCGGGATATAAAAGTTTTAAATAAATAATAAATAATGCAGCAGAGCTTTTCTTGCATTTTAACACCTTGAAGTGTCTTATATTTCTTAACCTTGAAATTGAAATGGTTCTGGCTTCCGGTTTCTACTTCTGTTGGACAAAGTGCTGAAGTTTTGGTGATGGGTAGTATTATAAATCTCCAGCAAGCATGCTTTCCGAGGGAATTCTGGAGGTCGTAGTACAAAATAAATGAACTTAAAAATCTTCCTAAATCAGACTGCAAACTTTACTTTCCAAAACTTCATCAGCCAGCACAGGGTCATTGGGCATTCTAGAAAACGCATTATCAAAAAACCCAAAAAATCTTCCAAGTTCTGGACTGAACTATAACTCAAAAGGGGAGAGGAGAGAACTGCAAATGTGAAGAAGGAAGTGAAAAAGAAACAAGGCATCAGGCTATCTTCAGAAACAGCGAATACTGGATCTACGCTACCACGTGATGCAATTTGTAACTTCATTATATGGTCAGTGCAGACCTATATAGTGCAGTTCAATGCAGTAAACTACATTTTTTTTGTCATGTCAGGAGCGACCTGAGAAACTGCAAGTTGCTTCTGGTGTGAGATAATTGGCCTTCTGCAAGGATATTGCCCAGATTATTTGATGTTTTTATCATCCTTGTGGGAGGCTTCTCTCATGTCCCCGCATGAGGAGCTGGAGCTGATAGAGGGAGCTCATCCGCCTCTCCCCGGATTTGAACCTGCGACCTGTCGGTCTTCAGTCCTGTCAGCACAGGGGTTTAACCCACTGCGCCACCGGGGGCTCCTGCATGATATGGGTCTATAACGACCATATAGTCAGTTCCATCTTGTCTCCTGCATATGTCATCAGTTGGGGACCCTTTCCCCCCAGCACTAACTGCTGATCTGGGCCAGAGTGAAGAGAGAGGGGAGCAGAAGACAGTTCCACCTTGTCTCCTGTGCTATTCTAATAATATAATATAATATAATATAATATAATATAATATAATATAATATAATATAATATAATATAATATAATATATTGTATATACATATAATATTTATAATATTATAATGTAATGCAATATAATACTACTAACAATATGATATTATAATTATATATTTATATTGCATATAATATTGATGGGGAGGTATTGGAAAAATAGATATTTATTTATGCATATATTGTGTGTACTTTACAAGAACTGAAATGTATAGAAAAATCAGGTTCTCTCTGTGTAAGAAAGCCAGCAGGACAGAGAAGGGGGAGAAGAGGGGGACATGTTATCTATACATTCCAGATACAGAGACTGGTACAACATAGTCCAGGCTATAGCTAAGTAAGGAGCCTACTCCCACTCCCTCCTGACAGGTCGAAATAGGTCCCTTGATTGATGAATGTAACCTGTAAGCAGCGGTTCTCAACCTGGGGGTCGCGACCCCCAGGGGGGTCGTTTGGCAATTTTGGAGGGGTCGCGAGGCCGCCTCCTTAGGCCCCGCCCCCAATGCCGCAGCCAGCCGAGGGCTCTCCTCGCGCGAAGTCTCCCTCGGCTGGGCCACGGTCCCGCCTTCCGACAAGGCCGCGATCCAGCCGAGGCCTCTCCTCGCGAGGAGTCTCCCTCGGCTGGGCCGCGGTCCCGACTTTCGGCGAGGCCACAATCCAGCTGAGGCCTCTCCTCGCGAGAAGGCTTCTTTGGCTGGGCCGCGGTCCTGCCTTCCGGCGAGGCCACGATCTAGCCGAGGCAAGGAGAGGCCTGGGCTGGATCGCGGCCTCGCTGGAAGGTGGGACCACGGCCCTGCCGAGGGCTCTCCTCGCACGGAGTC